TTTGTCTTGGTTCATATTTTTTTTTGTAGTTTCCGATTTGGAAGGGTACAATGAATTGGCCACTTAGTGGTGATGTCTGCGGTACGAAACAAGAAAGCACAGATCCTGTCCCCAGGTTTAATTTTGGTATCCTCCACATAATGAAGGCCGACGGCATTGTTATAACAGAAGTAATCACTCTTGGGTCCATCATTCTCAAGAACATAGAAATGTTCAGAAGGTTGGTCTGCGCCATTGAGTGGGTCACGTCCTTGATGGACAACGACTGAAACACATTTCCATGAACGACCCATGGCAAAGAAAGAATCCTCACCGAAAAAAGACATATAGAGGAGCGCTTGAGGATGAAACTCTCTGGGAGTCTGTAGCCAGACTGGTTTGCAGCTGGACTCTGATTCAACAACCAAGAACTGTCAAAAGCACACTCTTGACAGTTTGGGAGAGCATCACACCATGACGTTCGAACAGGTAGGGGTGCTTGAAGGAAACTGCAGATTGTGTGGTTCGACCATGTATGGCAGAAGGCCACTCAATCTGGCAATTCCAAGAAGGTGACAACGAGAACTACCCCAAAGCGCTCCACCAGTTTGTGTTCCAGCTGGACCAAAAAGTAGACATGCAGGTGGTGAATTGGGAGGTCCGGTTTGCCTAAGCTCATATTGCGGCCAAAGGACATGACCACTGTCTGCAAAAGCCACAAGGTCCTGCTGTAGCTTCAAGCACCGGGGCACATCGCCCCTGTTTCGCCCAGCTTCATGCCTTCATGGCCTTATGAGCTACTTTACAGGTTGCCCCTGCATTTTGCGTGTTTTGTTTTTGGGGGCTTGTTTGTTTTGGCTTGGTGTTTTCGTTGTTGGGTCTCTTCCTGTTGGTTGCAACCTGGTTTGTAGCTCCATCTTAACTCGACTAAGGTGACTTGTGCAGAACCTGCACACACAGCGCCCGCACTCGTGCAAAAAAAATCTTCTTTGCGAATTCAGGCCCATAGATAGTACGTAGCCAATCTTTTCTCACCTGTCACCTCCGTACAGAGGAAACACTCCTTGATAGTGGGGACTCGACCTCTGGCCGTCGGTTTTGTGTTGTCCGGTTGGGGTGTTTCGGTTCGTTTTTTGTTTGGTTTTGGGGTTTGCTTGTGTTCCTTTCCCCACCATCATTTTGTGTTTCCTTTTCCTTCAATGATGACCTGGGCACTCCGCCCACATGGCGTCCGCGCGTGGAAAAAAAAACAGTTGCCACGTGAAGTTATAAGAAACATTTGCTGTGACTTTCAGAATATCTGTGGCGAATTGTCCAGAAGACTAGCGTCGCTGTTTGCATTCCTCAACCTGAACTGAACACCGACATGCAAGCTAATCCCATGGGGTTGTCGTTGTGCGCGGACCCAGCCGCTGTATGGCCAAGGCATGCGAGGCTAAAATCATGGAAGCCAATTCAGAAGTGCACTCAGTAGTTCCATCAACGAACTGCAATGAAGAAGCAGGGGCGTGTGCACGTGAGAAGATCTGTCAGAAGAGGTCAGCGCACGAGCCTTGCCCAAGGAAATCAGTTGTTGCAATGCCAAGCATGCCGAGGAAAAGTCCCTTCTCGTTGCACAACCCTTTCAACTGATTGCACGAACGAAGCGAGAGGCATATCAGTGGTCAGGCAGTGGAGGCAGAGCTTGCTGGGGTGCTGCATTCCCCCCGAAGGGAGGTCTCCTTTGCACCCCTTGGCACCCAAGAAGTGCCAAAGAGGTATGTTCTGTTCCTGAAAGAAAGAGAGGTGCCATCGTGAAAACATCCTCCTGTTACATGCAAGGCCCGGGTGAAATAGGTGAAACCGTGGACCTATCCTAGCATGGTGCTTGTGCCTCTTTGTACAAGATTGGCCATGGCGTGGCAGCCGCAGAGAGCAACTAAGGTTCTCCCTGGGCGCCTTCCATTGCCATTCTCCACCACCCGCCTTTTGGGAATGAGAAGCTAAGGCTCTCATTCCTGGAGGCTCACTGCATTGTAGATGGTGAGGACGAAATGGTGACTCTGCTTGAACTTTGTTAAGCCTGGCAAGCACAATCGAAGTGGCGGAGGAGAAATGCACCACCTGAGGACCCAATCTGGGACAAGCTACAGCAAGGCATGGCATACACCATTGTCTTCAAGCACTGTAGTGTTATTCTGCCATCACAAGAACAGCTTGAGGGCTGCCCTATCCATCATGTTCCACTAGCGGTTCCCTCTGAACCCAGAAGAAATTGTCCCAGAAGGGGCCTTTGCAGGGGTTCCACGTCTGCGACACGTCAGTGTAGAGTCAGGCATCAGGCTCATTGGAGCAGAGGCTTGGCAAAATTGTCGACAGCTTCGCATTGTCAAATTGCCCGCCACTGTTGTAGGCATTGCCGATAATGCCTTTCGTGACTGCAAACTACTCAACAGTGTCTTGGCTCCGGGTTGTCGAGAGTTTGGATACAAGGCCTTTGCGGAATGCTGTTCCTTGCAATGGGTGTATGCATCGGAAGGGGTTGCAAACATGTTCACCAGCGAAGCCAAGTTCGGGCAATACCTCTTCCAAGGGTGTATCAACCTTGCTGAGCTTACCCTGAGTGAGCTTCCATCCCCCGAGGGTCAACACTGCAAGCTCGGACCAGTGAGCTAGCACCGGGATGTCTTAGTGCTACGGGAATCACCGCACTCGCTCTCACAAAGCACTTTGTAGCGATTGGAGCGCACGCGTGCGACAGTTGCCGATTGCTTAAGAGTGTAGACCTTAGCCACACCAAGGTAGAGGAAATTCCGGAGTTCACCTTTGTGCACTGCACTAGCCTCAGAGAAGTTCTCCTTCCAACTACTCTTCATACCATCAGAGTCAAGGCCTTCATGAATTGTGCAGCCCTAGTTGAGCTTGCCATCCCGCCCTCACTCAGATACATTGGAAGTAGAGCTTTCTTGGATTGCACTGCTTTTAAGAGGCTTGCCAAAATGCCAGGAAGGCACAAATGGCGAGGAGTATATGCGGAAGAAAATGCTTTCGCCATTTGTCCTGTTATGAGATGGCCACCTTGGCTGCACATGATCCCGGACATGGGATATACCCCTGGTCTTGGATGAGGACAAGTCTTTCTCGCCACAGCAATAGTGGCCCCATGGTCACTTCGTCAGAATCTGGGCGCACGTCTTAGCGCGAGTCCAGGGTAGGTCAGAAGCCATGCCAGGCCTAATCCCATAGTGGAGCTGAGGATCATCGCAAAACAAGCCTTCCTTCAGAGTACCATTCCATAGGAGGTTTCCATCCCTGCTTAACAAGGCGCTATGCGTCCTTGCAGGCAGCCCGCACTTTCGAGCAAGGGGCAAGCAAGGGGAGAAGACTCTCCAGACCTGCAATGACAAGCACACGCCAGCAAAGCACGACAAGTGAGATGCGTAAACATCAAGGAGAATCACCGACCTCTTTTCGCCATTCGCAATGCTCTGAGCCAATAGGAACGAGAGCCTTAGCTCCTCGTTCCTAGCAGGCGGGTGGTAGAGAGTGGCAATGGAGGATGCCCAGGGGGGAACCTTAGTTCCCGCTGTTGATGTCCGACATTTCCAATTTTGTACAAAGAGGTACAGACACCATGCTAGGACAGTCTAAAGTTTCACCTGTTTCACACGGGCCTTGCACGCAGCAGATCACTTTTTGCAATGATGCAGCACTTCACGGATTTAGGAGTCACCCCGTTTTGGCACCTTTGTGTGCCGAAGGGTGCTGAGTTGCCCTCCCTTCGGGGGGGTGTGCCTTTTGCACCCTTACCTGCAGGCTTTCGTCGTTCGCTATCGCCGCCGCCACTTGATCACCGCCTGGCGACATGCCTCTGGACTTGTCAGTGCAACCAGTTGCATGGGTTGTGCTACAAGAAAGGTCTTTTCCACGGCATGCAGCATAGCTTCCACTGCTCCATTTTGACATGGATGCAACCGGCGTTGGAGCATTGCGATACTCCTGACCTGCCTTGTGACCATGTTTTGCCGCACTGTGGTGTGGCCGCTGGTCACCTGAAATCATTAAGCAAAGTCCATTTGAAGCCTTTTGGAGACTTTTCTAGAACACCGACCTGCGCTTCCATGCTTTTCGTTCGTGAATTCAGGCCCATCGATATAGTCATTAGTTTTGTCTCACCAGTTTCACCTAGCACAGAGGAAAGACTACAAGATGGTGGAGACTCGGCCTGTGGGCGGTGGTTTGTTTGTTTTGGTTGGTTTGGGTGTCCTCGTTCTTTTCTCCACCATCTGACTGTTCTTCCCTTCCTTCAACGATGACCTGGGCACCATGCCCACACGGCGTCCGTACTCGTGGGATTGGGGTTTTCGGGATGGGGGGGATATTGCTCACGCGAGCATCTTCCTTCAAAGACTCCCACGATGACATAAGGGTTGTTAGCAGCATTATCCACATTATGCCTATATCTCTCAGCAGCGGCAAGCGAGCCTTCTTGAAGCTTTAGCGCCTCACATTGCGCAATGACCTTGTGCACAATTTGAACAGGGAAGTATACATGCACATGGTCTATGGGGAGCTCAGGTTTGTCAAGGTAAAGGCCCCGTGCAAAAGACATGACGACTGTTTGCATCAGTGCCAGCGAGTTGCGAGTGGGTTCTAACGCTGGAGCCGAACTGTCTTGTTTTCTTTCCTTGCTTGTTCTGAAGTCAGGTTCTCCTCCTGCTTCTGTTCTTGCTCAAAGAGCTGCAGAAGAAGGTGCCGAAGGCCGACTTTGATGAGGCAAGGCCAACGCTTATGGAACAGTTCCTTAGTGGCTTCCAGGATCCGGAGATTGAGCACATCCTCGCAAGTGCCGTGCCACCGCTTGATTTGAGCAGCGTCTCCTTCCTGAAGAGTCTCATTTGTCATTGAGAAGAGTTTTTTCCGGCGTTCATGTTTTCAAGTGGTATTCTTTTGCAATCTTGTGCAGCTGCAGTTTGTTCGTCGTTTTTTGCGGTCGTTTGAGGAGTATTGTCTCGGCTGTTGAAACCCGGACGAGCCATGAAATGGAGAAAAAGAACTTGGAGCTCACGGCCAAGATCGCTGAGGCAAATTTGGAGCAAGTCCGCATGCAGCTGGAGAAGGACTTGGAAGTTCTCGCAGCCAGAGTCAAAGGCCCAGAGCATGAAGCCAAGGAGGCTTTAAAGGACCATGTGTATTTGCGTGAGAGGCAGCAGATGCTGTTATTTTTCTGATTTGGAAGGTATCTGGTGTCCTAGCTGTTGTGAGTTTTGTTTGTTGGCCAAGGAAGATTCAGAACATGACCCGAAAGTGGCTGGATAAGCGATGCAAGATGGTCCTTGTGGATACAAACCTCCAGAGTGCTACAGCAGAGTTCGGACGCTTTCTTTCCACATTCACTGGGGATGGCCGCAGAGTGTCCTTCGCATTAAACTAGTCAATTTTCCAACGTGGCTGTATTTGCAACGATTGTTTGAGCACATATGTAGATGCAAAAACTTTAATAAGTCTCAGGTTTGTCCTGGCGCTGATGGATTGCACAGTTTGGCCGGCTAACATCAGCTACGTGCAGAGTGCAATCCAAATGATCAGCTCCATGATCAGCATGTCTCCAAATAATGCAGGCTTTGTGCAACTGCCGGTGCCACATGCTTCGACCGTTGCCTCCGCTCTTCTGAAGCATTGCAGATTGCTGGAAGATGGTCTTTCGAAAGGGGGGCTTGATGTGCTGACAACAGTCACAATCCTTTTTTCGAAGCCGGGGAGTTCAGGGCATGACAAGAGGAAGACCTCTCAGCTGGCTCTGTTCCTGACTCCTTCACGCACCGGATCAGACAATCCGTGGCTCCTTTCAAAGGCTTGGACCTCCCAGGCCCTGGGTCCTGTGCCGTTGATAAAGGTGTCAGACATGCTGGGATACGATGCTGATCTACGTCCATCTTCTGGGGCACGAGTAGAGCAGAGACATGTCCGCCAAATAGTGTGCTTGTTGTAACGGTAAAGGAGCTCAAATGCGACCGCTAACCTGTATGCTGTGTTGTGTTTGGGGCAACTCTTCTTGGAACTATGTTTAACTTGGGCCTGAACCTTTGAGGAAAGGAGTGCCAGCTCATGCCAGCATGGTCAAGGAGCTTATCAAGGACGTTGATGTGGGCCCAGACGACACCATCGTCTTGCTCGATGTGATACCGAATAAGTCACCCAGCTTCATATGGCCCGGCATACATAGCAATAGTATAAGTTATAAGTTATAAGGGATTGGCCTGAAGTCTCTACTTGCCATGTTTGAGGCATGCAGAGTTTGCTCGTGGAGTGTGCCAGCGATTGCTCACGGAGAATCTTGAGAGGCCTTCGGTAGCGTACTTTGGGTTGATGTTTGAGAAGGACGGTCGGGATGCAGAGACAGCCGTGCAGCAGATCGCGTACGATCATTTTGATGCTTCCCCGGATGCCCCACCCAAGCGTCGCGAGAGAGAACCTGTGCCTGAGCCAACCTTGGAGCTTCTGGCCTGGTCAAATGGCGGTTGTTCGTTCCCAGATCAGATTTTCAACAAGTTCACGCCAGGGACAAAGGCCTACCATGATTTGAAAGCTTTGAAAGACAAGGTAGCCGAGATGTACCCCTCAGCGCCTGCGCCATCTACCACTAGTGTTGGACCAGCGCCTGTGCTCAGGGCAGGGGGCAGGCCAGACTATACCATTGAAGGCGGCAAACGGCCACTTGATGTAAATCGCGTGGTGGATGTCGCAGCAGTGAAAGCGGACGACTTCAGTGAGACCAAGCAGGGTTTCCAAAGTTCTTGGTTGAAGAAACTTTAAGTCAATGGTGTTGTGTAGATGTTTGTGGTTCATGTTTCCAGAATGTTTTGTGTTTACGCTGGCCCTCCAGGCTATTGTCGGTGGAAGGGAGCAGGGGCCGGCCATGGCTTTTTGTGACTCCGTCGATGGCTTTCTATGTTGGCAATCTGGGAGATTCCCATGACCCTGGCTGCTGTCGAGCTGTGTGGGTTCAATGTTGGTTCTTTTGAGGAGAAGCTAATTCCAGGAACAGGCCAATCTGAAGCAAATGTGCTACCGTGGAGATTGTTGGATGATCTCACTCTTGTCGTATCGGCGGATGACAAGAAACTCATGTCTCTGGCTGACTTTGTGCACCGCAGTGCCACTGTGCACGGAGTTGCAGATTTCGAGATCCGTGACCACATCGTTTCTCCAAAGGTTCGTGTGCCAGTCTCTTGTCGCATTCTTTGTTGTGTGGCCTCTCCTGTCAGCCCGCCATGTGTGTGTGTGACACTGAGGCTGCTGACGGTGGCTCCCCAGAGCAGGCTGCGACAGCCAGTGGAAAGACAAATTGCTTCAAGCCCACCCCATTGAATGATTCGACGCCTAGGCGTGGTTGAAGAATGCTGTGTGTTAGTGGTGAGGATGGTCTCCGATGGAACCTTCAAACGATGTCATTGCAACAGTCATTGCTCTTCTTGTCGAAGAGGCACGCCAGCTTCGGTGCGGCTTTTGCCGGCAAGTACGACAAGCTCCCACGTTCTGACCTTGCGCGGGTGGCCTGGGAGGCACAATTTGTTTGGCGCAGTTGTTTTGCGTGAGTGACAAAGCCAATTTTGTGTGCTTCGGGCATTTGTTGTTTTTTGCGCGCTTTGTTTTGCTATTTGGTCAGGTGCAGATCCAAACAGGAACTGGGCCAGCAAAGATTGTTGCTTTGAAGCCGAAGCTGTATTTGACAGCCAAGATCACGATCCCAGCTCAAAGCTGGGTCCTTTTGTAGTTGGTGTGGGGTGTGTGTGCCAGCTTGACAGCTCTTTGCTTGGCCTTCCGGGAAGCATCGTTCTTGCCACATGTCAAGGCCAAGTGTGTTCTCCTGGAGTTTGTTCTCCATTTTGTGAAGAGCTGGCAGTTCTGAGTTGCTGATGAGTGCGATAGAAACAGGTCGTTCCTTATCACAGTGTGTTATTAGTTTAGGTGTGCATGTGAAAATATTGTGGCTTTTCGTTTTGGAGAAAGACGAATGCGCCAGCAAGTGAATTCAATTCCTAGAAGTAGGTACAGCTTTTCCGCTGCAATTTGGGGGTCAACAGGTGTTTGTGCCAGTTGTCAGCCACATTGTGCAGTTTGACTTTGACCTACCTGCCTCCGATGGGAGTACTGCCTGATGTTACTGCTTTGACCCCCTTCGCCTTCTGGATCTGATGGAGACAAGGTGACATGTCTTTGCTTTCTGAAATTGGTCCTCAGGTGTTTTGATCAAGTCAAAGTTCTTTTTGTGGTGCTCATGCCAGGAGAAGGGCCCCAAGGGCGAAGACCCGAACGTTCTTAAGAGGCCGTCTGCGCTGAAGAAAACCTTGCCGAAAAAAGAAACCAAAGCAGGAACAGTCCAGTGAGCCAGTAGACCCAACCAAGAACGAAGAGATCCCGACCTCGGCGGGTGGGCAACCAGAGAAGAAGAAACCTGAGGGAAAGGGAAAGGGAAAGGGAAAGGCAAAGCGAAGAGTAAGAACAAAACACCGGAATTTCCAGTTGAAGAAGTGAAAGTCGACGAGGGTACAAAACACGAGGAGGAGCCAGGTGTTATGCGCAAACCCGCCGCGGCAGCAAAACGTCCTTCAACTGAGTCAAACGCAGGCAGGGTGGATTTCAACATATTTTCTCGTCTTTTTAGGGTCTGGGTCCATTTACCATGTCTTATCCCTTCAGGCCTGGATTCCAAAGATCGAAAGATCAGCGGAATCAGCTACTACAAGCAGGACGGCGTTTTTGCTGTGAAGGTCAATGGGGTGCAAGTGATCAAGGCGCGGGGGGGGGGGGGGGACATTTTTTAAGTGCCCATGCTCTTGACATGAAGGCTGGTGGGAGGCACTACGATGCAAAGAAGTCGCGCGAGATCATCGCCGGGGCCACCAGAGTTTACAACCCCCCACTGTTCTTGTTATTTTTGTCGAGCCCCAAGGAAATCGGCAGGAAACATTTATTGGACGGAGACACAATGGCTTACGCGCAGCAGGTCGTGGTGTGACCCCCAGGACTGTTTTTGGTGGTTTCAATCTTGATGAGCTGTTATGGCAACGACCGCTGCAAGGCCACGCTGAAGTCGCAGTTGGTGTTCTCGCAAGGCTGCAGTTGCGGTGCATAGTTGGTGAATTCTTCGTTTCATGTTTGATGACGCCAGGTGCTGGTTTGGGTTGGGTTCCTGACGCAGAACCGGGGAATGAGAGCGCGGCGAAGGACGAAGTGAGTCAGGTTCAGGAAGGTGAGGCTGAGGCGGCTCAGGAGGCAAAGGATGAGGCGCCTCATACAAATGAGTCGAAAGGCGATGAGATAGCTGAGGTAGAGGGTGAGGAGGAAGAGCCTCCTGTTCAGGATGAGAATGTCGAATGCGTTGACTGACGTGGAACTGGATTGTCGTGGCTGTCTGTGCGAAAAAAGGTGTTTGTGACTGTTTAGTGTGATTGGAAGGTGATTTGTGAACCGATCTGGCAGCTGACTGTTTGATTGGTTTTGGGTTTTGGGCCCTTGAACATCACAGAGGGAGGAGGGTTCACAGTCCAAATCCATGTGGTGCCAGTCGTGGCAGTGGCTGCCAACTCCCTCTCAGTCAGTCCCACGATATTTTTTGAGACTCAAACGGAGATGCCAAACACGAAAGAAACGATACGAAACAACTTGGCAAACGCATTTTTGAAGTATGGTGGCTGTTCCAGGGTTTGGGGGGCATTTAGGGTTGATGGCTCGAGCAAAGTCTTTGTCGTGGCCACTGCCAAAAAAAAAACCGGCCAGATGAGTTAAAGTCCCGAAGACGTCCGGCAGAAGCGGTCTCAACTTTTCAGGCACTGCTACTAGTTGCGTTATTGTTTGTGCCCTTGGGGCAGCGCCAAGGTAATCTAGACTCAGATTTCCTAAAGGCTCAAGGATTATAAACCTATGTCCACGTTTCAAGGCTTTCAAAAAAAAAAGGCGAACTCAGGTATGACAGTCCGACAATCAGCAAATAGAACTAAAAAAAGAGTGATTGCTAAACTCATGCCAGTCTCCTTTCTCCACCAACCACTTTGTGGGCATCAGCAAGACATTGGCAACAAGACAACCAACAAGACATCCTTGCGTTGGCCATAGCATGCCCACAAGACATTCTCGCGTTGGCCATTACACGCACCAAACATTGGAACACCCTTTGTGCCAGGGACCCCGATTGCAAAGAAAAGGCTTTTCTTGTAAGTGTGCTAACTTTGTACATTTTTGCGCAATTGCTAGGCTCGAACCAATTGAGTATACATGTCGAGCCAACCACAATCTGGTATAATGCCGCATGGACATGACCAGCGTGACATTGTCATCACTTTGGTGACCTTGGCCGGCGCGGAATATTACATGCCGGCGAACCTGCTGCACTACGAAGACCTCGCACAACTGGAGGACGACATTGTCAGCTTTTCGCCAACGGTGTCGGACATTGAGGTTTTTGGCTGCGAGGCCGACCTCTTCGAGCTGGATACCCAGCTACCGCTATCCGAGTACTTCCATACCGTCCTACTGAAGCGAAGCAAACTGCAGATAATCATACGGCCTTGCGTGGAGGAAGGCCATTCGGTTTGGCAATTCCAAGATAGCGACAGGGAGGGGTATCCCAAGGCTGTTCGAGTCCCAATCAACGCTCGCAAAGAGGTGGCGGATAGAGCCTTCTATGCAGCGCCAATGCTCCAGCATGTCGAAGTGGCTGCAGGGATGAAGCACATAGGATTTGCTGCGTGGCAAAGCTGCCAGCAACTGCAGATAGTAAAGCTACCACTTTCGGTCGTCAGCCTGGAGGATGGAGTTTTCCAAGGCTGCTATGTCCTCAAAGAGGTCGTAGCCCCCCGGGTGCCTGCAGTTCAGCCGTCGAGTTTTTGCCGAGTGCTGCTCGCTTTTCAGAGTGGGCACTGGCAGCGACACAGATGCTGCCAATGATCTGGCACCCGGGGCGCAGCTGGGCCCCTTTGCGTTTGAAAGTTGCCTTATGCTTACGTCAATTAACTTCGTGATGGACAAAACTAATAGGTCTAGAGCGCTGCCAGACGGCAGTTTTTGCGGATCTGGCATCGAGAGCCTCTGCCTACCGTGCGACTTTCGCAGCATTGGCCCCAAAGCCTGTGAGAACTGCAAGCGACTGGTTGAGGTGTGCACGGATATTACGGCCATTTGGCAATTTACTTTCGCGCACTGCATTGCCTTGGCTGACATATGGCTACCGCCAAAGCTGCAACGAATTGGCAAGGAAGCCTTCCTTTGTTGTACATCACTTCGTGAACTTGTTATTCCCACTGAGCTACAATACATAGGCATTCGAGCTTTCTGTGGGTGTGAGCAGCTTGCTCTGTTCACACTTCTAGATTATGGAGACTGTGAAAGAACCATCCAAGCAGAAAACAATGCCTTCTTAATGTGTGATAACTTCGAAAAAGCGTCTTGGGTAGAACTACTCCCGCGGGGGGGACCCAGACTCAGATGCTTTTGATGAAGAGCTCCATACCGAACTCCCTTATGCAAGAATATGACAGGCTTCATGAGTTTGAAGATGCAGTGCTGAATCAACTCCCCTGTCTTGGAGACAGCAGCACCTTTGGTTGTGAGCTGCAATTTGTTCATAAGGACACTCACGAAGTGTTGGTCGACCCCATTTGGAACACTCTGCGTGACAATAACTGTTTCAACGTGATTGTCCGGCAGTGTTTTGTAGATGCAGAGCACAAAGGGCATCTCAAGGGCGGAGCAGAAGCCATTCGAGTCCCATCCGGCACTACTGATAGGATACTGCCCCAAGCCTTTTTGCAGGA